GTCTAACCGCCCTGTCCACACGGGGGGTGCATGCCCGGGCTGTGGGGGTGAGTACGTGGGCATGTCGGGGGGCACAGTGTGTAACACTAATGTGCGTGACTGTGTACGTGCGGGGGCGCTGTACTCCAGGCCCCTCGTTCTCGGTGGGCTGGATTTGAGGAGCCTGGCGGGGCTGAGGGGGTATCTCTGGCTGTCAGGCCCGCGGTGGGTGGGGGCGCACCCGCGGGCGGTGACTGAGCCCCAGCTCTCCCACCAGGACTGCCAAAATACAGCGAGACAGGGTGTAATTACCGGCACTTACCGCGGCCATCACCCCCCTAGCCGCCGCGTGTGACACACGACCCGTCAGCTCAGCGTTGGCACCATTAAGGGGCCTCATTAGCATCCCGGCTCAGAAGCAAAATTACCCTCACTGCTCATTTCAAGATGTCATCAATTTTAATTTAGGGCCCAAAGATAGTACAATGGGAAGGCCCTCGCCGGCCCGCCGCACATGGAAAGGGATGAGAGTGGGGGAGGGGTCGGGGGCAGCCAGGGCTGAGGGGGACAAAGAGGGAGAAGGGGCTGAGCCAGGAGAGGAGAAAAAACGCTGACCGCCCCCTGCCCCAGTAAGGTCCCCAGGCTAGGGCTTCTGCGGGCACCCCCGTGGGAGGGAAAAGAAATTGAGGGCACAGCCAGGGGCAGGCCCCTGGTCCGCCCCCCCCCCCGCCCCCCTCCAGGGCCACCTGGAAGCTACGACTTCCAGAGCCACGTCTTGAGTGACATGCTATGCCTAGCGCTTCCCTTAAGCTATTCTTTTAATTCCCACAACCACCCTGGGTGGTAGATATTAAAATCCCCCGTTACAGGAAGGGAAACTGAGGCACAGAGAACCGCCCCCACATCACACAGCAAGCCATGGCAGAGCTCACATTTAAACGCAGGCCTCTTTGGCTTTGCCGCCCCCCCACCTTTCTGAATCCAGAACTCGTGGCCTCGTGGAAGTCTTCCAGGTGACAGCCTGGGCCCCCCCACCTCCTGCGAGTGGCACCAGCGTTCCCATCCACAGGCACCCACGTTCATCAGGCCTTCACACACTCTGTGCCCTGTGCCGGGAATGCCCTTCCCCCTCCTAGCTCAGCTGAACTTCACCTCTCGCTGGATCCCCACTGCTGTTCCTGCGGCTTCTCCCTCACCTGACCCTGGGGCTGGCTGTCCCTTATCCACCAAGCGCCTCCTGCATCCAGCCCCAGCCGGCTCAGAGTGGGTGCTCAGGGTTTGCAGGCTCCCACGAATGAATGATCACTACCTCCCAGCTGTCCTCCTGCCCTCAGGTGGAGGTAAGGACTGTTGTCTGAGTTGAAAGGAAACACAGGTCTCCTCCGCCCACCCCCACTGTTCAGAGGAGCTGCTGAGGTTCAAGGGGAGGTGGGCGGGGCTTCAAAAAGACCTGTTTCAGTCTGTCTTAGCTGGCACAAGAGAGGTGTGCCACAAATGTTTGCTGAATGAATGAATGATTGAACACATGAGCGAATGACCAAGCGAGTGAGAGGTTTCTCTCTCCAGGCCCCTTCAGGTCCCTCCAGGGACAGAGATCTGTTACTTCCTCCTGGCCTTGCAGCAACTGGCCTTACAAGCACTCCTGGGGCACTTTCATTTTACAAGCAGAGCCTCCATTTCCATTTATAAGCGGAGACTGGGAAGTCTCCACTGGAACGTCACAGGCCAGTGGAGAAGTTTCTAGCAATTCTGGCTTGGAGGGTGGGGAGAGCCTTCTTGTTATTTCCAGCCAGCTCTGCCACCCCAGTCTGTCTTAATTCATAGCGGGGCTCAGGTCAAGCTCCTGAACCCCGTGGGCCGTGGTTTCTCCAAGTGTGAGGCGGGAGGCCGTGGCAGGAGGCTCAGGGACAAGGCAGCAGGAGGGCCGGGCTTGGGGCACTGGCTGAGGGGAAGGGGCACTGCCACTCCCTGCACCTGCCCTCACCCAGACTGAGGCCTGCCTGCCTCCTCTGCGGCCCGACGCCCCCAGCTCCCTGGCCACCGCCGGGGAGGGAAGGGCCCCCATCCGGAGCCCCAAGACAGGGTCCTCGCTGGCAGCAGGCGCCGCTCCCTGGCCTCACAGAAGACAGATCGCTCCCTTAATCACTCTGGAAAAGAACCCCAAGCCAATATAATATTATAATTAATTAATTCACTAAAAAGGTATTAAATTTCTCTCCCCCCTGTGGATATTATCTGAATTCATTGACCTTTAGAAAAATCACCCTCTAATTGTAACCAGGTCCAAAAGCATTTGCAGCCCGTCCCTTTTACATTAATAATATCTTCCCGGACTTGGCTCTGGCTGCTTAAATATTGTATAAATTCCACTGCCCCCTCAGAAAAGAGAGAGCAAAGGAAAAAAATGAGTCTGAAGCCTGAGAGGAGGATGGGGGCTGGACCCTAGGAGGTGGGGGTCCCAGGGGGTGGGGAACATGAGGTGAATTGAAGGGGCCCTTTCTAGCTGCTCCGGCTGACATGCCAGGTGGCTTAGAGGGGCAGGGAGCATGGATTGGAGCAGGAGTGTTAAACTTGGGGTTCGTGTTTTGGAGGCTATGGGGGGTGGGCGGAGAAGATTCGTAGTGTGTATCGGATTCTCATCCGAGTCAACGGCTCCAGACAGTAAAGGAAGAACCTGTGATTTAAAGGAACAGTGGGCAACAGAAACCAGTGACATTCCAAGGTCATTATTCTGAGGTTCTGCTTCTCTCCTCCCAGGCTTCACTCCAGTTCCGGCTTCCCAGACAGCCCTGGCCTGCACATTGGGGACAGGCCTCAGAGGAGGTGTGCGTGGACAGCTGAGGAGGGAGGCACCAAGGGACAGAGAGCCGGGGCCACGCCACCCACGGCCTGGCCTCAGCAGGGCCCACAGTCTCTCCTGCCCTTTGATCTGAAGACACTCCCTTTTCACTCTTTTGTTCATTCTCAAGGCCTCAGGGGCTTCCTTGGTGAATTGAGGGCATTGGGCAGGTCCATCTCTGCTTTCACGCCCGCCTACATACCCACTCCACCTTTTAAGAAATCATTTCCCTCTTGTGGACCTGAAGTCTGGAAAGGTGTTTTCTACCAAACAAAGAACATGGACAAAGGCCACATTCCCTTCTCATTTACTCAGAGATGGTCATAACCACCAGTCCGGAAGCTCTTGGCCTGACCCCTTCCTGCCAAAAACTGAGCAAGGTCCATGCAGACCAGCCCCAGGTGCGCGAATGCTTTCTGGTGACTTGTTGAACTGCTGGAGGAAGCACCTCTGCCTGACTTCGCCAGACCCGTCGGACTGCAGGGTCCCCAGGAGGGCAGACAGTTTGGAATACACAGTTAAGCTGAGATTCCCCGACACACCCCTGCCCTCACCCAGCAACCAGGTAGATGGCTGCCAACTCCTGGCCCTTTGGTGCCCCCTTGTGGGTAGAACCCCACTCACACCCTCAGTCCTGCTCAATGGGCCACCAGACCCTACTTCCCAAGGAACCTAGGGGGCAGAAAGCCAGCAGGCAGGTGAATGGTACTGGTAAGGTGGTCTTGAAGGGTTGTGTGAGGAAGCTCATGGGAAACTTCACTCCACTGAGTGGATCCTCAAGATAAAGAAGAACAAATGGGGTGGGAGAATTCTCAAGTGCCTGAAGGACTAGTCTCGGGAGTTCCCACACTCCCACCTGCTCCAGTGCCTATACAGCCCACACCTGGACTCATCAGGTCTCTCCCAGCCAGAGTCCAGGGCTGGTCCCAGGAGGGGTTGATGGGGCACTCCCAGGACATGGGCAGGTCCTTGGAAGTGAGGTGGGGCCTGGGACTGGGAGGTGCCTGTGCCCAGGCTGGCTCACTCTCCACAGCAAGGTCATCCCCTGCTCCATCTCACCTTGAGATTAATCCTGCGGCCTCTGCCAGCCCAGTGCCATCAGTGCGCCTGGCCCCCTTTCCTTCTCTCCCCTCACATGTTAATTGCTCCAAAGCTGATTTGATCTCCTGTTCTGCACAGAGGAAATTGCCCTCTTAACCATTTTCATCCTGGGATTTTCTTTTTTAAAATGAGGTCCCTTCAGCCTCTCAGGGCCCCATGAGGGGGGATCTGTTTTGATCTCTGCCTGAAGAGACTGGGAAATGGAGAGGGAACTAGGCAAAGCCCTAAAAGACCCTCTCCTCCCTTCCCCCAGACTCAAGAAGCTGCCGCTCCACCCCTCGGTGCCCCAGGCCCATCTCCCCATCATGCGTGAGGTCATGCAGGGCCAGGATCTTGAAGCAGAGACCCTCAGAAACTGTGAGGTGGAGGAACTGAAGCCTCACTATCTGGCCAGAGCAAGCAGCAAAAGCTGTGCCCTTGGCTCCATCCAGTGTCTTGTGTGCTCACCTCCTTCCAAAGCAGTTCATGTGGGTACTTGTTCCCCAAACCCGTAAGGACACAGCCCCTCATTACTAGGGAGCCTGTCCTACTAGAGATACTAAATCAGAGAGCAGAGGGGCTGGCCTTGCCTGCTTCTCAAGCCAAGTATGAGGCCACTTAGGGAGGGAGAACAATCTGAAGAAGTCACCACTAGAGACTGGGGAGGGGAATAGGAGAAAAATGCCCCCCACCCCAGCCAAGGGTAGCCTAAGTCAAGGGTGTTCGAAATCAGCAGCTAAGAACAGTAGACTTGGTTTGTGAGCAACCCAGTCGCCTTCATCATCCAGCTCAGCCAGCTTTGAAGGTGTAAGACTAGCGTGGCTGCAGCGCCACCTTGTGACTGTGAAGGACAATGCTCCCCCGCATCAGCATCAACCCCCATCAGTTAAAGCGCGCTCTTTCACCAGCTTTCCCTGGAGCAATTCTTGGGAGCTGGGGGGAACCGGGCGCCCGGCTTGTCCCCTCCTCTCTGTATCCCACTACCTTCACCCCCATTGGGGGCACTCGAACTCTGCATCCACCCAGAAAGGAGCCCCCTGGATTGAATCAGCCCCAGACCCACTCCAAAGAGACAGGACAAGTGGTACAAAGCACAGTGTTTACTAAACGCACAAAGTGGGGAGCCTGAAGGGTAGCTGCTTTTCCAGCAGTGACCCCACACTAACCTGAACCCAGAGCCCCGCTGCCGATCAACCCCGCCCTCACACCACCTGGTGGAGAGCTGTTAGCACCAAAGGGGGGTGGGGGTGCCCCACCTGTGTGAGGGGGCTGGCCAGGCTGGAGGATGGTCTTGTCGCCATCTGAGTCCCAGAAAAGCAGTCCTGGGCACCCACTAGATCAGTCACTGCTTCAGAGAAGGAACTGTCTGAACCCCCTCCTCCAACGGGTCCTCCCTCATTGGTGGGGGGTGGGAGTGGGGAGATTAGGCTCAGAAGATAGGATCCTCCCAGGACCTCTTCTTGCCCCCGGCACACACCCGGGAGTGAGGACGAGGACCTATTCCTGCTCAGCCCCATCACGAGGGCTGCCCCCGGGGAGTACTGAGCCAGGCGGGGGCTTCTCCTGACCCCTCAGGCTGCCAAGCGGGCAGGCACTAAGTCCAAACAAGGGGCTGACAGGGAGGAGTGAGGCAGGGCAGGTGGCTACTTCACACACAAGTGCAGCCTGAAGCGGGGGGAGGAGGGTGGCCCTGGTCCTCCCCACCCCCAGGCCTGCCCCTGTTCCCCAGCATGGGGGCAGCCAGGGTCACAGCACGTCGCCCTCCTCCATGCTGAAGCTGCTCCTGCGGCTGCTGGCCTTGGAGGCCTCAGGGGACATGGTGGAGAAGAGGGGGTCGGAGGCCAGTGGCAGCAGTGAGTTGTCCAGGAGCATGAGGTCCAGGTCCTTCTTGGACAGGTTGGGGAACAGGGAGCCATGCTCTGGCCCCAGAGGTTCCGGGTAGCCTGGGGGCCCTTCGTCGCCCCCGCCCCCAAAGCTCAGGCTGTGGCTTAAGTCCAGTTGGTGGAATGGGGATGGTGGCTGGGCTGGCTGGGCTGGCTGGGCTGGCGGGGGCAGTGGGGCCTGGGGGGGCAGAGTCGGCAGTGACTCAGGGTCGCGGACCTCGGCCCCCAACAGCAGGGCCTCCCCTGGGCCCTCCTCGCTGGGCAGCTCCTGCTTCACCACCTGCTGGGCCAGTTCAGCCATGTTCATGCCAGACGGGGAGGTGGTGGGGAGGCCGTGCACTCGAGCCTGCATCTCCAGCTCCTGTGGGTGGGGCAGACAGAGGGCTAAGGGCACATACCCACGGGTACCAGCTGACCCCTGCCGCAGCCCTTGCTCCTCCCCCTGCAGCACCCAAGACCATAAAATGTCTCAGCCTAGGGTAGCTCTAGAGTCTAGGCCAGCGTTTTATCAAACTGTAAGTCGCAACTCATTAGTGGGTTGTGAAACCAACTTAGTGAGTCTTGACCAGCTCTCCATTTTCCCTAATTGAAAGATACTTGCCTAGACTAGATTAGACTGGAAATTACCAGAATGCATGGCATCTATTAAGGATGAGGGTTCTTTGATGAAACTTTGATCTTTCACTTTGAGTGTGGCTATGTGTGCTGGATTGTAATGTAAATTATAGTACTACTATGAGAAATAGAAAAGTTTAAAAACTTCAGTCCAATCACCCATAGATGACCAGCCTCAGGTCCAAAGAAGACAGAGACCCTCAACACAGAGCCAGGACTAGTAGAACCTGTGGCTCCAGGTGACTCTCCCAAGTCTTTGTTCTTTAGTTTGCCTCCTAGAGCGGTTCTTAGCACTACACACCAAGTAGTTCCAGCTCTCTGCCTCTCACACATGGTAGGTTTGCAATTTTCTGCTCCCTTGAGGTTAGATATAGACAGGTCCTTGCATTGATCAAGAAAATGTATGCAGAAGTGACAAGTGTCACCTTAAGAGGAACGTATGGCTTTAGGAGCCAGCTCTACATGTACCTGTCTCTGGTGTTGGGTCCCAGAATGAAGGTCTCACAGAACAGAACTTACAGCTGATATGTGCTGCTTAAAGTTGCTGGGAATGTTTGTTACTAAACCATAACATCCTGACTGATACATTTTCCCTTCTTATGGCATTATTCCCACGACTTCAGTGTAACCACTACTCCTGAAATCACGAGCCAGGCCCGGGTCAGGAGTCAGAGCTACCCAAGAAGTCCAAGCGCAGGGGCCAGACCTGGATGCGGAGCCATAGCTGCTTGTTGGTCATCTCCAGGCGCCGAGAGTGGTTCTCAAGCTCCCGGGACTTCTGCAGGTCCTTCTGCATCCTCCGGATGTAATCAACAGAGGCCTTGAGTATGGTACCCTTGTTCCAGCGCACATCCCTGCAGGCCAACAGAACCAGGGGTGCGTGTTCAGAGTGGCCAATTATTTGCCATGCTCCCGGTAGGTGGAAATAAAACTCCGCTTTGTTTTCCAAAGCCTTTGTCGCCAGTCCCAACTTTGTCCACAAACCCCAGACCCAGCCAATCCCTATTTGTGGATGAGGCTGATCTCCGCAAGTACAGAACAGACCCTCCCAGGTAACTTGATTGCTACCACCCACCTCACTAATCCCATGGAACCAAGCAATTAAGAACAGCTCCCTTCCCCAGACCTTCCACTGCTGACACCAAAACCCATACCTGTCCTTGACCCTCATTGCTCCTACCCCTGCACCACCTCTATACCAGTCTACTGTCCTCGCCAAACTTTCCCAGCATGGCTCCTCCTCCTCCAGCAAGCCTTCCAGACCCCAGCCTTACTTTCAGAATATCTGCTCATCTGTTTTGAGTTTTCTGATTTGGGAGAAGGAGGGCTCTTCTTTTCTCAAACAGCTGATAAGCTCTTAGAAGGCAGCAGTCAAGGGATTCTCTTCCCTCCCTTCCCCCTGGCAACCCGCCTGGGGCTGATTGCTCCAGCTCCTACCCAGCCCCCACCCTTCCCGCAGAAACCCCTGCTCAGCTCACAGGTCATTGGCCTTGGGGATCAGCATTCCCAGCTCCTTGATGCGGTCATTGATGTTGAACCTCCGCCTCCTTTCAACTAGAGGTAACAGATTCCAGAGGGGGGAATTAGAGGCATGAGAACCCCACTGGGGAGAAGGGCCCAGTGCAAAGGAGAGTACCTTAGCCCTTCTGGGAAGTAATGCGTACCCTTGGGGTAATGCGGGACGTGGGAATGAGGGGGTCTGGCGCAGGCCAGGCACAATCAAGGGGCTCTGCGAGGGAGGTAGAATCAGCCCTGTCAGGCTGCTAGCGGGCCGGGCTGCCTGGGTTAGGATGCCCCCCACTGCCCCAACTCCTTCCCAGAGGTCCCCGGGTTCCATACCCAAAAGAAAACAATCTGATAAACTCATTCACTCTGAAGTGCTGGGAATTTCATGAATATTGCTTCCCTGGAGCCCCTCTCCCCAGCGCGCCCGCCCGCCCTGCCCCCCCACCGCCATCCGGAACAGGGCAGTCTGTATTAGCCCAGCCATTCCCACCAAAGGCCTCGGGTAGGGAAGGCTTCCTAAAACCTTGGTGGAGAGGGAGGCAGGGAGCAAGGGCAAGGTGGGGAGGACTCACTTAGGTTGTGATTGTCCTTCTTCTGCCGCTCCTTGGCCAGAGCCCTGCTCTCAGCATCTGGAGGCCAGGAGAGAATCAGAGAGGAGCTGAGAGGAAGGGAAAGGGGAGCGGGAAGGGAGCCAGGACACAGAGAGGTAGGTACCTGTAAGCTCACGCTTCTGGGTCAGGTCAGCTGGGCAGGAGCTGCTGGTGACACCCACCAGTGAAGCTGTGACCTGGGGGTCACCACTGTACACGTTCAGGTGGCTGCTGGACAGCGGCAGCTGTGGGGTGAGGTGGGGAGAGGGACCCGGTGAGCAGCCCCCCTTCTGTGGGGGGTCCTCCCCAGGGCTTGTTGTTGCTGGAAGAGCCATTCCCAGGGTCACCAGGGGGAAGCTGTGCTCGTGTCTCCCTGGCCACAGTTTCAGCTTTAAGGGGTCTGCTGCCAGCACCGGGGATGTCAGAATTCACCCTGGGCCTCTCCAGCCAGCAATTCCACGTGAAAGTCTGCAGAGTCCAGAGCTGAATAAGATGCAGTTCTTAAGAGTCCCAGCCTGGAGTCCCAGGAATCTCCAAAGAGAAAATGATCAGCCAGGTACTGGTGCTGGAGAAGATTTACGCCCTAGGCATTAGGAAGCCCAAGGGTGGGGCACCTAATCTCTTCCAGAGTTTCTGAAAGGTTTCCTGGAGGGCGAGGAACTTGAGTCCTGAGCAGAGCAGTGAGGAGATTGCTATAGGAAGGTAGGGGCGGGGCTGAACAAAGAACGGGGGCTGGACAGAGTGGTTGTCTCAGAGCACAGTGTGATGCATGCTGGGCAGGAGGTGAAGCTGGAGCCACGGGTTCAACTTGCAAAGACCCTGGGATTTTGTGATGTGCAACCAGTGGGGGTTTAAGTAAGGGCCTGACAAGAACATCTTTGAGCTCTGGAAAGATTTCCCCCACTCCTGCTGCAGAAACAAACAGCAAATCACAGGCCCAGAGCCCTACAGGATACACGGGCCCCCACAGGGTACACAAAAACCATGAAAGGGATGGGACACGTGTGCCCTCCCTTTCTCCCTTCCTAGACCTTGAGGCCCTTGCTGGCAGTAGGTTTCGGGCCCAGCTGGCCCGGACCAGCTCCTGCTGAGCCACTGAACATCACCAGGGCACCGGAGACAGCTGACCGACTCCTTGGTTCCCACTGCAAGAATCAGGGATTTCCCCACGGTGGCATGGGCTGGTGCCAGGATCAGGGTAACAGGCCCAGGCCCCAGTCGCAGGAGTGAACAGCAGAGGTTCAGGACTTCCCAAAAAGCGGTGGGGACACCTGCAATTCCACTGCTCAGTGTAAATACCTGTCACCTTTGTGCACAGCTAGACCCCAATCTCCTGCCTCATCTGATCTTCCCACAATCCTGGGAGTAGATGGTATCGTCCCTATTTTGCAGCTGAGAACAGTTAAGAGACTTCCCAAGGTCATAGCCGAAGCCAGAAGCCAGGCCTCCCTCCTGATTCCCAGCCTGTCTCCTTCCCACCTGCCAGCTCCCCTCTGCCCAAGAGGTCTAGAGAGCATTCACACCGCCAGAGGCTGCTGGAGGAAGGGGGCAAGGCCAGCTCCTGTCACTCGCCCCACCCCGCAGAATGAGGGGCACAGGCCTATGACCGCTGGGTCCTAGGTTTGGTAGACGAGGGGAGCCCCAGATCCCAGAAGAACTCACCAACCCTTGGCCGTCCTGTGGCCGCACTGCTACCCTCCAGGAATGCTCTCCCCACCTCCCCTCTGCTGCGGCCCAGCACCAGTGCCTCCAGTCCGCACCCACCCAGGCAGGCTTCCCTGACCGCCCAGGCACCTCTCCCTGCCAAAGCCCCGTCGCGCGCATGCAGGCTGAGGCACGTCCATCTGCATTCATAGTTCTGCGCCCCGGGCCCTCATTGCATGATTTGATGGAGGCAACTCTCATGTCTGTAGCTGAGGACCCTGTTTCTGGTCCTCTCCAGGCTCAGAGCCATGCAAGACCTCTGCCCCCACCCTCTGGCACAGCCACCCCACCCGGGCCAGCAGTACCGTATTGGGCATCTGGGATTCAGGATTGATGAAGCCCAGGACATCATCCAGACACATAATGTTGTCGATGACATCAAACTGAAAGAGAGAAAAGTTCTCCTGGGGAGGGCCCACCAGGAGAGGGGCAGGGAAGGGGCCCTGGGACAGCCACTGACCTGAAGGCACCTTGGAGCCCACCTTCCTCAACCTACTCATGTGGGGGAGAAGGAAACAGGCCCAGAGAGAGGATGAGCTGTTCAGGTCCCACAGGCCCCAGGGACCAGGCCAGGTCTCTTCCCAAGGAGCCGAGGTACCCAGGGAGCTTGCTTTATATACCTTCTGTCTGGACATGGCTTTGCAGGTCTGTTGGGCTTCCCTCTATTAGTCCCCTAGCAGAGATTTCAAAAGGAGGAATGATGTTTCTCCTATGAGAATGGGGCTCCCTGAGGGCAGGGCCGTGTCTCCCCTCAGTCTGGGGCTCCCTGAGGGCAGCACCTTGCCTCCACCATTACACCAGCTGTCCCAGGAACATAGCCTCTGGCACTAGCTCTGTTTGTGGCAGCCACTCCCTAGTTCCTCACTCACCTCCCTCTCAGGGTTGGAGCCAATGTGCAGCATAGCCATGGGGCTGTTGGGTGCACTGTTGCCGGCTGAAGAGGACACCACATGTCCAGCCCGCACCCCAGGGGAGGCGGCTGGCAGGGGCTTTGGGGAGCCCTGGGCAGGGCTGATGTGGGCGGCAAACTTGTTCCCGTAGGTCTCAGACAGGTACTCCCGCACCTTCTGGTCCCGGGATTGCTGCAGGTGGTAGGAGGTGGGGTTCTCCAGGTAGGACTGCACCTGGGAGGGAGAGAAGGCAAGGACTGTAGTGTGTCCTAGGACCAGGGCAGGAGGGCACAGACCAAGTGGACCTTACCTTCAGCACCTCCCCGGGCACAGGTGGCGGAGACTGGAAATGGACTGGGGTGCTGATGGCCGGGGTGGGTGGCCCCGCCAGCTGCTGCTGCTGCTGCTGTTGCATGTAGTGCATGACGGCCTGCTGCTGCATGCGCTCCCGCTGCTCCTCCTGCTGGGCCTGCTCCCGCATGAGCTGCATGCGCAGCCCAATGCGCGAAGCCATGGCGGCTGCTGGCGCTGGCTTCCTGTGGACAAGGGAACAGGTCTGTGAGGCACGTGTCCTCTTCGAGGTGCTGGGGCTTGGGGAAGGGACCAGGATAAGAGGGATCGCATCCATTGCATAGGAGCAGACACAGGCCCAGAGGAGGGAAGGGACTTGCCCAAGGTCACTGAATAAGTGAGTGACAAAGCTGAGACTTGAATGCAAGTTCCCTGGTTCCTAGAGCAAAAGTATGCATTCCCTCTGCATCACTGAAGCTCAGCCCCCAAAGCTTGGCATCAAGCTCATTCCTCTCTTTCTCTCAGGCCACACGGTGATCCTGTCAGACCTGACCTCAGATACATCCTTGTTTGCCACCACCTCGCTGCCACACGTGTGGGCCTCCTGAAGCAGCCTCCTTCCCCTTTTCTTGCCTCACAATATTCCACTACCAACTCAGTAATTAGAGGAGTCCCGTTAAAGCCTAAGTCAGATCCCATCCCTCCCTCTACTCAGAATTTGCCACGGCTCCCACTTCAGAGTAAAAGCCAAAGTCTTTACCAGAAAAGTGCCTCTTCACCTGTTCCACCTGCTCGGGCCACCCCCAACCCCTCAAAGACACCGGGTACACTCCCACCTCAGCGCCTTTGCGCAGGGTCTTCCTTCCACCTGGGATGGCTCATTCCTTCATCTTCTCCAAGGCTCACAAATACCGCCTTACAAAGACTTTCCATGGCCTCCCTACTTAAAATTGCAAAACCCCTCTCTCGCACCCCATGCCCTTTCCCCCTTTTATGTTTCTCCGTGTCACCTACCACCATCTTCAATACTAAGCATTTTTGTTTAGTTCCGTCATTCACTGTCTGTCTCTTTCTTAGCAGGTATGCAAACTCCCCTGAGGGCAGGCAATTGTTCATCTTCCCTGCTGTCCCTCTGGCCTCTAGCCCAGAGCCTGTGCCAGTAGATGCTCTGTAAATGCCTGCAGGGACCCGTCACTACTTATGAACCAGGCACTGGCCGTACACCAGCAAGCCGACCACAGTCCCTGAGTTCACGGAGCCCATAGGCCTTTACAGCCTGTGCAGGGAGGACCACTTCAGGCCAGGGCTCAAAGTGGGCTCCGCACCGTCCAGCACATCAGCCGGATCGTCAATGGGTCTCAGTGGGACAGAGGGACTGCGGCCTCCAGGACTAGTCTGGAAGGAGGGAGGACAGGACAGAACGAGACCTGTAGCTGTGCCCACTCTGTCTCTAGCTCACTGAGTGACCCTGGTCACAGCCCTCTTCCTCTCTGAGCCTCCATCTCCCCGTGCACAATACGATAGGGTTGAATCAAGCTATTTCTGAGGTCCCTCCCAGCTCGGACAGACTGAGACTCTGTGAAAGATGCAGGGACCCTGCAGATGCACAGACTCCATACAGGTCCTGGCGGGGGCTGAAGGGTCCCGTCTTGGGGACATTGCAAGAGGTAGCAGCATGACTTCATTATTCAGCAAGTGCTATCAAACAGGGCAGGTGTGAGCTTGAATCCCAGCTCTTTGCTATGTGACCTTGGGCAAGTCACTTAACCTCTCTGGGCCTCAGCTGACTCATCTGTAAAGAGTTTCTACCTTAGAAGACTGGTGAGAGTGTTCAATAAAATGTGTCTTAGGTAGTACATGGCACTTGGGAGGCTGAGTGGGTAAGTAAAAGATAGACACAGACTGGCGGGGTCTGCAGTGCAGACTAGAGGCCAGAGCTGTACCCCGGGGCCTGAGAATGAACCTCCAGTCTCCGCGGGTGGTAAAGGAAAGCAGATCAGGATAACATATTCTGTCAAACGCTAGACACCAGACACAAGCATGACGGGGAGGAACTGGCAAAGATTAGTGAAAATCACCGGATCATGAAAGTAATAATCTGCATCTACTTGAACATTTACTGTGTTCTGGGCACTGTTCTGAGCACTTTAACCTAAAACAGCCTTATGAAGTAGTTTTGGTTATTATTCTCCTTTTACGGATAAGGAGAAACAGAGGCACAGGGAAGTTAAGGATCTCGCAGTGAGGACAGAGGCTGGGACCCAATGCCCGGACATCTGGCTCCCCGCCCAGGGGCAGGGGTAGGGGGTGTCTGGAGACCTCCACATCTCCATGCTGAGCTGGTAAGGAGCTTGTCCCAGGTTGATCCAAGGCTGGGACTAGAGCCCAAGGCAACTGACCTCCAACCCAGGGCTCTGGCTACCACCACAGCTGCTTCCCTGCAAGGTGGGACAGCGCCACCCGCCTCGAGGTCTGAGCATTCAGGGGCCCTCCCTCACCACCATCCTCCCCTCTCTGCCCTTCGAGGCCGGGAAGTAGTAAAGGGGCTGCCTCAGCCTCGTGGGTCTCTGCCCAGATCCCAAAAGGACAGTCCTCAAAGAGAAAGGGGCAGACACTCTCCCTTCTGCCCCTTCTCTGCCCTGTAGCAGGGACACAGCTGCAGCCTCCGAGCCTTTCCTGTGGCCTTTACAGAGGGGCGGCCTGTCTCTCACCCCGCCGCCCGCCTCCCACACCAGCCCCAGGGGCTCTGACCCCAGCCTAGCCGCCCCGCCTTGCAGCTGCACCCACACACTCACACAGCAGCACTGGGGAGCCCCTCCACCTCAGAACAATTTTACCTCAGTTGGCCTCGGGAGGGGGAAGGGGACTGGGCCTGGCAGTGCCAGCCGGCACGGGGAGGCTGGGGGAGAAGGGGCCCCTTGTTTGTCTGACAGAGCGCTGGGCTGGAGCTGGTTCTGCCCAAAGAGGCCCCGGGCCGGGCCCTGCTCGGACGGCGCGGCTGCCACAGCCTCGGTTTGCTCACGTGTCAGATGGACCCAGGACTCCCTGCCCCACCGCCCTCGGGGTCTGCATGAGCTCCTGGGACAAGGCGTTAGAGACTGCGGGCCATGCAGGGTGTGGGCATCGATGGCTGTGGGCAGTCTTATCCTGTCCCCTGTCCTCTGATGGGGGCTCAGTGGCGGTAGATGGAGGCTTTCCCACCCCTGCTCCCATGGTTGAAGCTGTCACTCCTGATAGTGCTGCTCTTCCCACAGGGTCCCAGCCTCCCACCCTGGCCCCCCGCCTGGGTGGGATGGGTGTGGGGGTTGAGGGAGGGACTTGAGGGGATCTGGGGGTGGATGGGATGGTCCAGGAGAGGCCTTGAACATACTAACCCCTCCTTACCCCCCAAACATACCCGCCTGCTCTCAAAGCCTGAGGGGCCATGTGCAGCACCCCCAGCGCCCAGTCTGGGCAGGAAGAACTAAGAGGAGGGACACAGAAGAGCCAAAATGCCCCTAGACATGGAGAACACACGATACAATGTACAGATGATGTATTACAGAATTATACATCCGAAACTTCTGTAATTTTATTAACCAATGTCACCCCAATAAATTCAATAAAGTTTTAAAAAATGCTTCCAGACCCCTCCCCACCATCTCACCCGCCAGGCCCGGGAAGGGTCCACCATGCATGTCCTCGGTGATACCAGGAGCCTTGGATGCCCACCACGTACAGACACGGGCTGGGGTGTTTCCCTGAGGAGCTTCCACCCCCAGGGAACACCCTCATCCTGAGGAGGCAAGGAGATCCAATACCCCAGAGAATTCCTGCCCCTGCCCGAGGCATGGAAAGTGTAGCAGGAGCTGAAGTTTCAGCCGAGGGGATGAGAGCCACACCCATCTGTGTCCTCAGGAGCGGCAGGCCACTTCCTGACCCTGTTTACCCAGAAACTCCCACCTGACTCCACCTGTGCCCCAAACTGACTCTGGGTTCTAGCTTAGTTGCAACCAAAATGAGCTTCACCATCCAACAGATTCGGCTGAAGCCCCTGCTCTGTGCAGACTGGCGGGGTGACTCTGGGCAAGCCACTTAACCGCTTTGTGTCTTGGTTTTCTCCTTGGTAAAATGGAGCCAGTCACACCACCTCCTCACAGGGCTGTGTGAGGATTCAGTGAGTGTGCAGAATTGTCCTCAGCTGAGACTTCATTTTAGAAATGAAGACTTCATTTGGAAATGCCCTGCTCCATCTTCCATGACTATGGAGGGGCAGGAACTCCATGGGACAGGCCTTCGGGTACCAATGACAGGTGGATTCTGGGCTCCCTTCCGGAACTGCCTCCTGTGCCCCGGGCCAGAGCAGGTTCCAGGCTGGCCTGCGTGTGCGCCTCTCAACAGTCATTGACACCTCAGTATGAGCAGACTGAGCGGAACCCTTCCTGGAGGAAGATGTGGATGGAGGAAGAGGAAAGACGGAGAAATCCCTAGATTCCCTGAGGGGCAGGCAAGGGAGAAAGAAGGCCCCAGAACGGGAAAGTCTAAGTAAACATAGGAAAAAGGATCTCAAAGATACAGCACTGAGTGGAAAAAGCAAACTGCAGAGTAAAATGTACAGCCTTTGGCCACTTAGGCAGGAAATGGGTAAATGTGTAGAATAGATCAGAAGGATCAGGGTGTTTCTTGAACGCTTGCCATGGACCAGAGCTGGTCTATGTGCTTTTCAAATGTTCAGTCATCTGTTCTTCATAACAACCCTATGAGGTTGTTGCCCCCAATTGTCAGGGAGAAACTGAGGTGCAGAGAGGTAAAGTAACATGCTCGAGTTTTCATGGCTGATAAGCAGCAAAAGAGAGATTTGATCCAGGGAGCCTGGTTCACAGCCCCCACTCTTTTTTGGGGGAGTTGTTTGAAGGTTTTTATTAAGTTTCACTTTTATTCGAGGTGGTAGTTACACCAACGTATTCAGGTGATGCTGCAGCCATGCACAGAAAAGGAATGGTGGCTATGTTCAGAATTTCTAAGGGTGGTAAGTTGCGAGCAGCTGGCTACAGTTGAACCAAGAAGGCTAGGGAAGATTACTGAGAAATAAACTCCAAAGAGAGGAAAGGCAGAAGCAGGTAAAGTCAGAGGAAGGACCAATGCCCTCATTACACATAGCATGGTGACCTCATTTATTTTTATACAGAAAAATAAGTTGTATATTAGGTCACATAAATTTTATCCTATCACACATGCTGAGATGGCTAATAAGGATATCATCTTT